TTAATAAGTTAATTTTATTTGTAATCATATGATAAATTTCATCAAGAATCCTTTTGTCCATCTTAAATAACATTTATTTTTAAAGGAATCTTTATTGTTAATTTTTTTATTCTTAATTATATATCTAGGGAATAAGTTTATACTTTTAGTCATATACTAGGTGAATACCTACGCTACATGTGGGTTGTTGTTTTGAAAACTGTTAAAAATAAATCATACTGTTCTTTGTTGCTAATTTATGTAGTTACAATTTTTATGGTTAGATTTATTTTTGACTCGAAATATCAATTATACATTTTGCATACATAAATCTAATTATCTATATACCTAAGATTCTAATTTTTTCACTATCATAAATACATACAACAACAATATATGATATATTGATACAATGGTATGTAATTATGTTACTTATATAGTTTGAAACTTGTCTAACAATTCTCTGTTCTATGTAGAATGTATAGAACATATGTAATGTAGAGTGTATAGAACCTAAAATTCATAGAACATATAGAATGTAGAGTGTATAGAAATATAATATACATTTTTTTAGAACACATACAAAATGTAGAAGGCGTATTCTAAACTTAGCCGAACGAATTTTGATCGATCAAAAGTGTACCTATTTTGCAACCACATCGAGAAGCCGTCAGAGACTCCACCTCCCATAAAACCCTATGTCGCACCTGAACTTGAATGTGCCCTGAAAGACCTCCTTAAACTTTACGAGAAACAGAAGAAAGCAAATGTCACAATAGAGGATGCCGCTTCTGCCGGTTATAAGTCGTTGTAGGCGGTCTCTCCAAAGAATCCGGCGGTCTCTGCTCGGACCTTCTAAAGGTCTGTGGTTTGTATATGGTCTACCTTGTGAATCTTAAGTACATCAAATGCAGCTAGCTTACTTGTAAATTCGATATCATAAATCCTGAAATCAAGTAAACATTTTCAGTTATGATAGGGGATTGCCATATTCCTTACATGGCTAAGTGGCAAGAGTTGGAGGTAAGACTAAAAAAGAATCAGACAATTGATAAACTGATTAAGTTTTAGCTGTCTTGTCTTAGGTGAGATTGTTAGTTTTGTTTTAACAATAGAACTTCGTTTGTTTTTCAGAAAATGTATTTATTGGAAACTATTTATGAGGTTCTAAGATAAGTTTCTTATGATTCAGATTTCAGGATAATGAGGTTCGTTTATTAATATGATTAGTTTTATATTCAAATTTTAATACATTTTGTTTGTCTTTGAGAATCCTGCAAATAGGTAAGTAAGAATTAAGAGAGATTGGAGAGAGAGACGTGGTGAGATTTTTAATAAAAAAAATGTGTTAAAGAATATCACTAGTAATACTTTTATTTTGTATTTACTAGATTAAAGTCCGCGCTACGCAGCGGGATATGTTTCTATAAAATAATTTTGTCTCAATATAAGTATAATTGAAAAAAAATTAAAATGCTCTTAACATTTGATATCTTGCATTTGCTCATATTTTAGAAAATTTTACTTTATTATATTATTTATTAATGTATACATTAATAAACATGTTATATATTATTTGTACAAAATAAATGTACCGTATAACCTATGTTATATATTAATTTTACAAAATAATTGATTGAACTCACACATAATTTGTTTGTTTGTTGATATAAATTCACACATAATAGTTCTAATTCATATTATTTGTAATAAACAAACTAAATTTTTTTTCTTATGAACTTCAATCTAATAATTTTTTAAAAAAATCCAAGGATAACTTCAATTTTAAAAAAAAAAATTAATTTCATTCATCAATTTAAATTCTAGTGCTAAATTTCATAATATTGGTTTCATCATTAATTATAGGATTTAATAAATAAAATATTATTTATTTTTAGTTTTTTTTTCCTTTCTATATTTCACTCCATTTAAGTATGAGTGTCATGTTTCATTCTAATGAATTTATTATAACTAAATTAAATTTTCAGGAAACATATGATTTAATTTTTTTAATCTTAAGGACCAATATTTTTTAATGAAGCTTTTTGTTTTCAAAAAAACACTTAAACCTCAAATTTTAAATAAAATAAATAATGGATCAAATATAATGAACTTTATACAAATCAAATAATGAATATTATAATAAATATTATAACGACTATATAACTATCTAATGGATCAGAAAAAGCTAAATATAATGATACATATATTAAAAATGATTACAAAAATTTATTTGAGATAATAAAGAGGTAAGAAAAAATTATTTGATATATGTACTACAATAATTTATTTATTAAATATTACATAATTAAAAAACAAATACATGAATATGTTAGAAAATAATCAAACATCTAAACTAGAAAATAAAGATAGATCTTCTTAACATTATTTTCCTTGTTTTGAGATGATTAGAAATGAAATTCTTAATTCTCCATACCAGTAAACCTAAATGTTTGTTATAATTATCAAAACTTTTATTTTGTTTCTGAAAATTAAAGAATAAATGTTATAATCTAGTACGGTGTCGAAAATAAAATAAAACAACAGTGTTAGATATATGACATACTTTATAAAATAAATTTAGAATCAAATTTTTACAATGATGTTTTGTTATATTAACCCATATAGCAACATAAAAAATAGATACATGGATATAGTGGAAAAGGATGAGAAAATGACTTCTTAAATCTAAAATAGACAATGAATATAAATCTTTAAAAAAATCCAAAATAATGTAAGATACATATCATATAGTCTCTAAAATTAAAATTTAGAACTCCGCTTTTACAATGATATTAAATTTGATTTTCTTAAACCAATATAACACCAACAACCAACCAAAAAAAATCTTAAAACAAAAAAAAAAAGATTTGAGTTAAAGTGGAAGAGGATGAGAAAATGAGAGAATGAGAGAATGAAAGAATGAGTGAATGAGTGAATGAGAAAATGATTAGTTATAGGATGAGAAGTGATAGGAGTTACAATTTAAAAATTAAATTATGAGAGTTACAATTTTAAAAAAAAATTATGGGAGTTACAATTTAAAAAATCAATTACAGGAGTTACAATTTAATTTATTGTGTGTTGAATGAAATTGAGTGAAAATATAGTTAATGCATAGTTTTATGATTTCAATTTTATATTAAAGTGTGAATTAAATATATATGATTAAATGTGTTACTTATTTGTGGTTTAATTGGAAATATTTTTTTTTAAGTCTTATTGCCAAGTGGACCAATTAAGAGAGAGTAAAATTTTAGTTTTATATATATGATTAATGTTACCAACTTACCAAAAAACACAAAATGAAAAAAAAAAAAAAAGAAGGTCATATGATTATATGTGAACCACAAAACATAATAATAATAAAAAAATGGGAGACTCACAAAAATGCCCCTTTTTCAATACCCCTTTTCAAAAATACCCCCTTTGGCTGTCCATTTTTAAAAATACCCCTTTTTATGTACAAAATGACTAAATTACCCTTCTTTTAATAAAAGATATCACAAATATATAAGGAAATATAACAAAATTAGGTCCACAAAATACAAAATATTTTTTGGCGGGAAAAGTGATCCCGCAATTTTTCCCGCCAAAACACTTGTAAAAACTTGTCAAACCTTTAAAATACCTTGTAAAATTTTCCCGTAAAATTTTTTCCCGCCAAAACATTTTTTTTGCGGGAAAAGTGATTCCGCAATTTTTTTGGCGTTAAATTTTTGGCGGGAAAAATTTACAAGGTATTTTAAAGCTTTTTTACAGGCAATTTATAAGGTTTTATAATGTATTCTAAAAGGTTTTACAACGTATTTATAAGGTATTTATAAGATATTATAAGATTTTACAAGCTATTTTATAAGGTTTTACAAGTTATAAGGTTTAACAAGTTTTTTATAATGTTTTACAAGTTATAAATACCTTATAAAACCTTATAAGTACCTTGTAAAACCTTTTAAAATACATTATAAAACCTTACAAAACACTTGTAAATACTCTGTAAAACCTTTAAAATACCTTGTAAATTTTTCCCGCCAAAAAAATTGCGGTATCACTTTTCCCGCAAAAAAAAATTTTTGGCGGGAAAATTTTTTTGCGGAAAAAATTTTTACGGGAAAATTTTACAAGGTATTTTAAAGGTTTTTACAAGTGTTTTGGCGGGAAAATTGCGGGATTACTTTTCCCGCCAAAAAATATTTTGTATTTTGTGGACCTAATTTTGTTTCAAATAAGGGTAAAATGGTCATTAAAAATTAAAAGAGGACAAACTTAAAAATAGACTCTCAAAGGGGGCATTTTTGAAAAGGGGTATTGAAAAAGGGGCATTTTTAACAATTTCTCTAAAAAAAATCAAGGTAAAATACTAAACTAATAAGAGGTTGAGTAGCAAATAGTTAAACTGTAAATTTTATCATTACAATGACCATTGATAAAAAAATTAGTAAAATAAAAAGAGTATAATAAAAATAGTAATTGATACATTAGCATGATTTTTTTACTTTATTTATTTTATTTGAAAAATTCAATTAAGAGTGGTATTAATGAAGGATTTAATACACTTGATGACTTTTGATTTTTCTTTACTTAATTTTGTTAATTTTTTATTTAATTAATGCAAAATGACACATGTCATTTTCTTATGTGATGATGATGTGTCACTCATATGGAAAGAGTTAGCCAACTTTCATATATATAATTACCACACATTTAATTTTAAGTTTTGTTATACGTATATATGTTACACGTGTTTTATTTTCATTCAAGTAACTTTTATTTAAAATTGTGTATTAATTGAATACTAATGTTTAAATATTAGATGTAATTAACCACATAATTTATTATTTTGAAATGATTATAGGTAGGGTCTATAGTACTATTTTGATGATGATGTGTACACCCGGAGAGGAAACTCTGCCATTATATATATATATAGATTTTGGGTGACAATAGTTAAATCAACATCACTTTTTATCTTTTTGGTAAATCAAGAAAGGCGATTTTAAGGTTTGTTTTTTTCTCTCTAATTTGCTGTATGATTGATTATGAAACAGAAAGCCGTAACGTTCATTCGTATATTTTCTACAACTACATTTTTGGGACAGAATTAAAGGAATAGAGTCTTGTTTAGGAAAAAAAAAAGAATTTCTTTTCAAGATTCCCAGTTGGGAATATTAGCTGTAGCTTCGTTCACCATTGTCACCAATGTCACCTGCATTGTGTTTATGACCACTTAAAGATTAAGAATGTGCAAGAAAAACCAAAAAAAGAAACAAATGAGAGAAGTTTTGCTTGAAGTTATATTTATACCACGCTCTCGGGAACACCTTGTGGAGGCAATGGGAGATTTCTTGGGGGCGGTTTACTCCCGTAAGACCGTTTATCGAATCTCCATTCTCCAATCTTCCCTACCATCATCTTCCCCTGTAAATTGTAATACCAATGCAGACAAATATAAAACTAAGCTTATCTAATATCTTTATTAACTTTCTTTTATTGCTTAATTGTTGTTTCATGATTGACATACCTTCATGTCGAAATCGCAGCCGTAAGTGTAATGTATTATGAACGTGTTCTTTGTTTCGGTGTCCCAAGGAGGCTATACCAATAGATGAAACATGACTTGTTATGTTCCATAATTTTGAAACTTTTTGGTATACTAAATAAAGTTTTATTGATCAAAACCTGAATCATGAAGTCTTTGTGTAGAATGTTGCTCACGCCGTGTAACGCAGAAGAAACAGCGTATGCATACCTTATAGTATAAATCAAACATAGAGCAATTAGATAAACATTATATATATCTAGAACAAGAGGGGTCACATTAGAATAGAGAGAAATTTACATTTCAAGAACCCAACCAAAAGCTTTATCTGTTTGTGGGTCATTTTTCATAGCCAAAGAAACGTTCATCCATGTTGGAGCAATTTTCATTAATGCATTCTACAAAACCAAGAAAAGTATTAGTCATATATAGGACCATATATGCGGTCCGCGCAAAGACTTTAATTAGCTATGTGATTACTATATACCTTAGTGACAATCACTGGAGAATTCCCGATGGGATCGATTCTTGATATTGGTCCATTCTCTTTGGGGAAGAATTTGCGGAGAACCGATTCATATTTCTTCGGTTCAATGTAGAAAAAGGGAAACGCAGCCGCGAGATTGCCTCTGGCTAGGTTTGGTATTGGTTTAACTATGATATGATCAGGTTCCGCCATGAGAATGTAACTGACATGATGATCAAGAAACATAGGAAAATATATGAAAATCAAAAATGGCATTCCCCAACCTAATATGGGGGTCGGAAATCAACATACTATAACTATAGGGTATTACTAAAAATAATGTAAGAGTTTTAGGTATCAAAAGAGTATTATGAAAATAAGGGACTGAGATTGTAAATAATACGTACTCTTCCTCTATATGTGCTTGTTGAAGCCATTGCACAAACGCCCAAGGCCTATTTAGAACTACATATCCCTGCATATTTTATACAACATTCATCATCATTGGAATAAAGTTTACACATTACCATTTGTTTCTATGGTTTTGTATAAATCCTATAGATTAATAAAGATGGTTATGTTTATTGAAAATAAGTTTTACTTTTATTTTGATAAAGAGAAGTTTTATTTTCAACATGAACATTACTTATTTTCAATAATAAACCTCTAAAGCTAAAAGTAACATCATGATCATTCTAAAATCTAACTAGTAACCAATAGTTTTGAGCTACATAAATTTATACACATATCACCAATAACAAGGAAGTTAAAGAAGATGAAGAACCTTGTCAACACCGGAAGGAAGAGGGTCAGCAACAAAGGTAGGGATCTCATCCATGAGTCCATCGGGTCGACCCGAATGCAAGATCCGGGTATACCCACCCATATCCGATCCCGGTTCGTCCCTGAACCTGTTGTACCAATAGTACATGACCCGACACTGCCACGTGCTATACACGGAATCCGTGGCTGTCACCGCCGTGTGAAACAGTCTCTTTGTCTTCTTTGACGGAGTCTTGACGGAATATGTGACCTCATCTCTGGAAGAGGCTGCTCGGCGACCGGGGAATTCTTGCCGGAGAGGAGGATCATCGGAGACTATGTAGTTGTATCTAATTATTAGAAATAACGATAGAGTCATGAGAATTGGGAAGAAAAACTTCCCACGAAATCTCATTTTCTCTCTTTTTCTGTATCAAAAATTCATTCATGTGCATATGCAAATGCATATGCAGTTTCAAGTTGTATGAAAAGTCGTCGCTTATTGGTGTTATTTAGAAATGGAAGTAGTTAGTTGTCACAAAGTGGCTGGTCCCACAACGTTCTGGTCTTCGTTTCATTTTCTGTTTATTTTTGAATTATTATAGTATGATTTGTTGTCTTATAATTGTATTTCTTTGTTGTTCAATATGATTCTATTTATTGTTTTTTTGTTTTATTTTTTTCTTCACTTTGTCCTTGTCGGAGAATATTTCATAAGCACGAAAGCAATTTGGGTTCTGGACAAAAGATGACTAATTGGTTACTACTAACCAAATGGTTGGTGTTGGAGTTGGATCCGACCATCGCCCATCGGATTTCGGCCAATAAAAGCCCAAAAAGAATAGCTCATCTTAACAATAAAGATAAAAAACCATTTCTTACTTCTAAAAGAGATGACTTGATCGTTTTTAAGAAAATTACACGGGTGCAAATTTTTTTTTTTTGATAAAATGTAAAGTATTTATATCTTTTTCAAAGTTTCGACAAAAATGAAAAAGAGTACATACAAGTAGCAGAAAAAACAAAAATCTACAGAAAAATAAGACAATAACAAAACAGGAAAGGAGAAAAACGTATGTCCAAAGTAGAAACAAAATAAGAAGCACCGATTTCGAGATGCCAAACTAAGAAATTTGGATGATTTCCACAACTCCAATGTTTACATGTTAGGGAGTGGTTTAAATTGATACTAAAAAAAAAATTGTTAAGGAGTGGTGAAGGGTTTAACTTTAATTATAGTTTTTATGTCTGAGATCTGTCGATGGTCATCTATGACCGGATTAAAATCTGGGACTGGGGGAAGAAATTTAATAATGTTTAGGCATAAAAGAGATATTTGCTTGTTGTAAAAAAAAAAATGAAAATCCTAGATGGGTAGGAACTAATTAAGGCTTATCCTCAATTACCTTCTAGCCTAGAGACTGAAGCTACCGACTCTCGCTTAGGCTATGCAATGTTTGGACAGCATTGGACTAATTCGTAGATTCTAGTGCATGCACTGATCCTGACGGTGAAAAATGGAGACATTTTTTGTGTGGAGATTATAGAGGAAAAAAGGTGAATATAGAGGATACTTTGGAAATCAAGTGGTTCTGATGTTGTGCTTCATATGGAGATTGTGTATATTTTGGAATGTTTATCTTTAAGATTTGATTTTGATGTGTTTTTATGTGGGTTTTCTTGTGTTTATTAGATTGTTAGTAAACTAGGATCGGACCCGCGGTGCACCGCGGGGGAATATTGCTTTACATACGTTGAGTTTAATATTGTGTGTGTTTTTAGTAGAGCGAATCGTGTAGTATACTTATAAATATTCATAATAACGAATTGTAGAAAAAATGTTAAATTTTTTATAAACAAACCCATCGTATTAATTATGATTTACAAAATAGAATTTTGTGTTTTACAATTATAAAATTAGACGATTCATGGGAATTAGAGCAGTCACTTTAGGTCAAAAACCGCGGATCGAGCCAAAATCATCTCACTATGGGGCAGAATTGGGGAAATATATTAAACCCGCAAATAAGCGGGCCACAAGGATTAATTCGCAGTGGGTCATAGGTTTAATCGGTTTTTATCCGCTGGTTGGCGGATCAGCTCGCATGTTAGTATTTATTGATAAAATTATAATTTATTCAACATGTGGTAATTTAAACAAACTCTTAATAGTATTTTTATTTATTTATTTATTTTAGTAGTATTTTAAATTTTGATTACTTTAAAATTATTTAAACAAAATCCACGGACAATCCCGCAAATCCGCATACATTCGCGGGACGGATTTGTATTTCATATATGCTATCCGCGGGTCGTACGGACCGACTAAGTACAAGTCAAAATATTTTTTGCCTTTTCGCAAAACAGGCTTAACGGGACAAATCAACTCGGTTTGACAGCTCTAATGGGAATATTATTTAGTCATACAACAAAATGAAATTTGGACATAGGAATAATAGAATATGTATCTTATTTGTTAGATGAGAGATTGAAAGATGAAATATAATGATTAAAAATTAATTATTAATTTTCTGTTATAAACCACATGTTGGATGGACTCCATAACCGTGGACCTTATGCATATTCTAGAAGGCCCATGTCCATGTCCTAGAAGGCCCATGCCCATGTTCTTGAAGATTCTCCTTATGACGGCCTATATTGTACTTAGTGGGCTTTTGGGCTTTAGGGTTTACTAGCCCAATGGGGATTTGTCTCCCCTCATCATGTATATATATGTATCGAAATCTCATTCATTAATCAATAGAACAACACAGTTTACAACACGTTATCAGCACGACTTGCTCTTAACGAAAACCCTAAAACCCTAACCCTAAAAATCGCGGCACTGTTCATCACCGACACTGTTCATCTCGGTACTGTTCATCGCCGTACTGTTCATCGCTGTACTGTTCATCGCCGCACTGTTCATCGCAAATATCAATTTAATTTATAAAACAGATGGGTTATTTACTTATTTGTGATAAATTTTCTAGATATCTTTAGAAACAAGTAAGATATCTTTCAATTAATGATAATTGGCTAAAAGGAGCGAAATTAATGACAAAAATGTTGATTGTTATGGAATTAGTTCCAAAAATATATGAACAAATTTATTATACGTAATTACTGTATAATATAATTAGTTACCATAAGTACAATCATATTTTATTTTATTTCCATAAATATTTGATTTTTATTCGATTTATCATTATTAATTCGAATTTATATTCCAAAAAAAATTTCAAAGATCCGATTTCAGAATTTCGGGTCAATTTTCTGATTTTAACCCGACCCATTTTCATTTGTACTTCTCTTTTAATAGTATAGAGATATTTTGATATCTGCAACGTTAGATGAGATAACGTAAATCAACCTAATATTTGAATATATGTTTTTATTGATATAATTGATGATCACATTTCAAATTATGAATTTCTTAGTATTTAGGACTCAACATGGAGAATCTTGTGATTCAAAAGTGACATTTCAGCAACAACAATTATCTTATATATATATATATATATATATATATATATATATATATATATATATATATATATATATATATATATATATAAGGAGGGTGATTGGTTGATTACCAGTAGGTTTATTTTAAATTGATAACTTTCTAAAATTATAACTATAAAAAATATGTTCAGCCTTTAAAAAACATAAAGTCACATTTTTTTTAGCTACTAAAAAAAAATACTCATTGTAGAGAGAGTTGGACTTGGGAAATTATTAGAAACTTAAAAATGTTAAAATTGCCACCGATTCGAATTCTAACATAGTTTTTCTGGATCTAGAATTAGTGTTTGGGCCTAAAATTTTTTTAAGTCCACCTCGGTCATAAAAAGAAATTGTTAAGATTAGTTTCATCACAGGAAATAAGCTTTTCATGTGAGAAGCACGTCATTGCTGAAAGGAGTGCCACTTAGCCCTTTTATTTGACGAGGAAAAAATCAAGACCATGTTTTCAAAACTTTACGTCATTTTTTCTCCTCAAAACCCAATAAGTATGAGCCAAATCACACCGAAAAATCTATATTCTTACCGCTTTTTAACAACGCTAACCCCTTTTTGAATAGAGTTATTGTAACACCCGTCCTGTCATATAGGCCAAGACAACATGTTATTCATCTGATCTTGCCAAAACCTTTTCTTTAAACTTCATCCACGCACGAAACATTGCACAACAACTCATGAACCTTATTCACTTGAGGACAAAAGGGAAAAAAAGGATGAGTAAAGAATACTCAGTAAGGGGAATCAACTCTGCCCACTGAAACATAGAACACTTTCTTAAGCTATACAACCATAATCATAACATATAAACTTAGACACTAGCAATCACATAACATTCTTTACTTGCTAAACATAACAACATTCATCTTAACCACATAACCATACATATACATTGTTAGGTCTAGTCATCCTCGTGACGACTAGAACCTCCTGAGTGGAGGCTGGCCCTCGTGGCTCAGACACTCCCATTCCGGGCTCGTCAGCCGTTCTTGACCAGCTGTTAACCCGTCGGTCTATCACTATCCATCACTCATACATACTCATAATCATACTTAACATTCTCATACATAACATCACCTTATCAAACATAATACTAACACATATCAAACTCAACAATCATCAAATCACATATCATCACATAATCATATCCTATACAATCAGATCTAAGCCTACATATCATGCGTCAAGAAGCATAACAAAAAAAAAAGATACTATGCTTCGCAAATACCACCCTCACCTTAGCCTAGTTGAAGATGAAAAACATCTCTTCTCCTTTCTCCTTTGAAAGGACTTAATATCTTAACGGTAACCAAGTGTTCTTTAGCTCTACTTTGGTTCTCCATCAACTAAGATCTTACTCCATGAGTCATAAAAGCTCCTGCAAGGTTTCAGTTCAAACCGAGCTCATTTACCCAACCAACAACACAAACTCGTCACAATTTACTTCATACAAAACTGTCTCGGAAACATACTTATAAGTCAAGAACTAACCGTTAAAAACGAAATCCCACCGTTGATTATCTAGCCCACAATACCATGAACAACTCCACAAAGTTTCAGCTCGATCGGACATCGTTACAACCTCCAAAAGATGCCCGCAATAACCAATACGAAACTGTTTTCTACAGTTGCTTGTCCTGGAAGAAACAAGCATAACTTCTCGAATATAGACTCGATTTAAACTCCGTCAGCGACTGTGGATTCTTGAAAACGTGAGCTTTCCAGGGACATCTTATTTGTCATCTGATTCCCACTAGTTTGACGGGAATCAGTCGCACAAAACCCTAACTCAGATCTGTCCCTTTTCTTTCATCTTCTTCCTCCTTTGCTTCTCTTTTGCTTTGCCCAGCTGAGGTATACTCTGATCTTATTCAGAGCAGCTTCTCCTTACTGTCATTGAACCATATCTCTTCCTTTCGATGCTTCTCCTTTGCGGTGACGATGAATCGATGATCCCTTATTCTCCGCCACGTCTCGCCCTCCATCTCTGTCTCTTCTTTGCTTTCTTCTCCTCTTTCACGATCTGATCCTGTTTCTTATTCTTCTCCTTTGTTTTCTTCTCCAGATCAAGGCAACGTGGTTGTTGACGTGGTTGTTGAGAAAACACAACACGATCAGTGGTGGAAGAGACACGAACAAGACGATGACGGCGATAGCAAAGGCTCACGTCAATTCTTTCTCTTTATTTTTTTCTCTCGGCAAAAACGGCTAGGGTTTACTCATCTTAATGGAGAGGGAGATGCTTATATATTTACATATGCATGTGCAAACAATAACTAGGCTTTGACGTTTTTGTGGCTTACCCATCACATAGGCTTAATCCAAATGTTAAAACAAAAAGGCCCACAATTGTGGGAGAGGGGTGTTACAGTTATATTGCAGAAGGATAGGAAGAAATTACACGGCCGGCCCAATAATTTAATCCAGCCCAATAAAAACAAAAAATGGGAACCCTAGTTTAATTACGGAGTCTTTAGTCTTTACTTAGAAACAGTGTTCAAGAAAGCGCTAGGCGCTAAGCGGGCGGTGACCCAGTGTCTAGCGCCTAGAACGCTTAATCGGGGTCTAGGCGATTTTTTAGGCGGTTTAGACGTTTATAACATAAAAAATTATAAATATAATATTATATATAAAATATCTATATAAAACTAAAAATTATGAAATTATAAACAAAAACTAGATAAAACATTTATTTATATTTATATTAAAAAAATATATGAATATTTATAACTATATATATAAATAAATCTCTAATTGAAATTGAAAAAATACATTAAACAAGATCTATGTGATTTTAGGCGGTCAAGACGGTAATCTAGGCGTCGCATGAGAGCCTAGCGCCTAGTCGGGGCCTAGGCGACCGCCTAGACCGCTTTTTAGAACACTGCTTAGAAACTGAACACTTAGAGGAATGGCTCTTTGTATTCTAGTAGCGTGTTATGTGACTGCTTCGTCTTCCCTCCAATGTTATTTCCAAGACACCTCTCTTTTTAAATAACATCTATTGATGACAAAAATATAATCTGTCCTTCAACGCTTCCTATTCTCTCTCTCTCTATACTATATACATTGGAAAAAAAAAAACAGTTTTGGATTCAGAAAGGTCGCTTTTGTGCAAATAATGAGTTCAAGAGTGTCTTCAACAATTGTGCAGACCTAGAGAGAACGTTCTCCTTCTTCCTATTCACTTAAGATCCAAAACTTCTCCCAACTCAAGAAATCAACACTCTCCTCTGACGGCCAATATCAATCTCGTCTTTTCTCTTCTGGTGGATACAACTGGTAAGTATGACATTTTCATCATCAAAATAACTTTTGTTTCAACCTTTTTTCTTGACCATGAAAATTGAAAAAGATGCATGCATCATCTTAAGTTATGCAATATTATTGTTCATAAATAATACAGGAGAATGATCATATACCCAAATGGAAACAACAAGGATAACGGAAGTGGCTTTATTTCAATGTATGTGGAAATAGATGGAGAAAGCCTCATGTCCACACCACCAAGCGAGGTGTTTGCAGATGTTCGGTTTTTCGTCTTTAATAAAAACGAAAACAAATATTTTACTATTCAAGGTATATGTACATGTCTTACTATACATATATGTCTTCTTTTAGTCTACTATTTAGTCAATATGTGTTTTCATATTTAGATGTTGAATCGAAGCCGTTCAATAGTTTAAGACCGGTGTGGGGATTGCCTCAAGTGCTTCAGTTTGTTACATTCAATGACCCCAAAAATGGATATATTTTTGGGGGAGATCAATGTGAGTTTGGTGTTGATGTCATTGTTGCTCCACCTCCTACCAAATGGGAAACTATCTCTTTTGATGCAAAACTTATTAATCCAAAGTTCTCTTGGACTATCAAGAATTTCTCTGAGTTGGAGTATGTATACACATCAAACTGTTTTGCAATGGGAGGAAGCAATTGGTGAGTATACTAAAGGATTCTTTTGTTTGGAATAATTATTTTATATTATAGTATATGCACTGTTCTAAAAATCCCCGCCTAGCCCCGATTACTCCCCGCTTAATCGCTAGGCCCACCCTATCCGCCTCGATTAATGACTAATCCCCTAAAAAATCAGTAACCCGATTATTCTCCGCTTAATCCGATTACTTCCCGCCTAATCTTATATACTCCGATTATTTTTTAGATTGCAAGTATAAAAAAACTTTTAATTTTTGTTATTCAATCATTTGAATGGAGAGTTTGTAATGTTTTACAATAACTTGTGTTCAAATTTTAATAAAAATCATAAATTTGTAATAAAAATCATAAATTTTTACAATATTGGATTAATATAATTTAAAAATATTAAAATAACCCTAAAACTAATCCCCGATTAATCCCTGATTTTAATCCGATTTTCCGATTAATCGCTAGGCCCATGCCGAGCGCCCGACTAGCGCCTAGCGATTTTTCAAACAAGGAGTATATGTAGTGAATAATTGTTAACATTTGCACTAAAATGTTATCTAAGGCTATAATGTTGTATCCCCAAGGCCAAACTAAACAAGATGGCAAATGGTTATCCATTTATCTGTTTTCAGCTGAAAGTGAATCACTAGCAGAAGATGAGAAGATCTTTGCCCAAGGGCATATTCGAATTCTAGACCCAGTTGGATTGAATAACTTCTCACGTGAACGTACGTCATATGATAATTGTTTATTACACTATAGTTTCTTTTTTTACCTAACACCAGTTTTTGATATGAGATCACTACATCTAAAACTTACACTGAGTTTTATTTAGCGTTCATCTTTAATTTATAACCTTGCATACTCATTCATCATGTTGCAGTTATGGACTGGCACGTCAAGTCAAACACCGGTTGGGGTTGGGATCAATTTCTTTCTATAGCTGAACTAAGGAAGACTTACTTGGATGAGGACGGCACTTTGAATGTTGAGATTGAATTTGAAGTTGTTTCTAAAACAACATATTCTCTCCTATGATCTAAACTCCACTATGAGATTATGCATTATCTACTTATATATGATCATGCATCTATAAAATTCTAAAAATACTGTTATAAAATGTTATGTTTCATTTTCTGAATACATTATTTGAGTTATCGATTGTTTATAATTCCGTCAAAAACTTGAGTGGCGGACTTCCATTCGGAAAGTTGTGATCGGTTGTCTTTATGAAGTTCTTTGATTTAAACATATTCATCAGTTATCTATATAGATGATGGGCTTGATTGGCAAGTTTTTTAGAAGCTTTACAAAGTAAAAAAAAATTCTAAAGCTTTAAATTGGATCCAATCAAACTTTTTTTTTTTTTTTGATAAACAATCCAATCAAATTTTAGAAGTTTTGACTTAAATTTTTTTAAATAGTCATATCTCTATAGCAAAAAAAAAATATATAGCTTTAAAAATACATCGATTCTTTTATCTTCTTCTTTTTTAACAACATATCTACTTTAATCTACTTAGATAATATGTAAACATTTAAAGCAACAGATCTAATTAAATTTCTAATACACATAATCTGATAATCTATAATAATAACAATATTTGAGAAGTGTTTTTGCTGACGTGTCGGACTCTCGGCTCTTGTTGAGCCATTGATTTTGCGTAATTACTTAAATACCTTCTATTAAATTAATTCGAATATTAATTAAAATTAAAAAAATAACTGACCCTAAAATATAAAAATTCGATATATTTTACATTTTAAAAAATAGTAATATTCTTAAACATGAAAAAATAAAAAAAAATAAATAAATTTGGCTCAAATGTAGTTTACATACCTTTTTTTTATGACAGTTTATCGTTCGACCAAGAACATCCAATGACCACCAAGAACTTGTTACCCTACGATAAAACATATATTCATAGCAATAACAGAAATTTGGCAATTTAATGATAGAAAACCACCTTTTGATCTGTTGAATCATCATAGAAAACCATCATATTGGCCATCTTTTTTCTTTAAACCATCGTATTGATATGATCTTGCATCCTACAATTGCAACCAATCAAACAAACTATTCTTTTAAATTACCTTAGATAATAAAGAGACTAATGAGTCTCGTGGGAAAGATTTTCAGGATATTCGTTTTGGAGCATGCACAAAATCGACGGGTATATTAATCTCCACCAATCTAATCATGGTCGTGAGTCACATACAATTACGTCGGAGAAATGATTGGTCGTGTCTTCTTCTTTTCTCTTCCTTTTCCGTGTTTTTTTTTTTTTCTTTTTTGGTTCTTTTTGTTTTTTTTTCAACAAAAGATGTGTCTCATAATTAATCGTTTAATTATATTTTTGATATATTAATGATAAATTTATGTTGTGATAATTACGAGCCAATTGTTTTTAAAAGTAAAATTTACTTTTCTAAAATATATAGATATTGCCGATAATATCAAAACAACTATCATATATTCTTTAAATTCACAAATCTGATAAAATAAAAGAAACTTTCTATTATATTTTATACCGATAATGATGGTGTATCTAAATAAATGTCAAATATAATTGTAAATCTAAAAAAAATTATGTTATTTTTCCACTTTTTAACAAATAAAATAAGGAATATTTTTTATAATTAATATCCATAGTAGTTATTAATTGTTTTTAGGAATATTAATTGTTTTGATAAAGATTTGATCTAACACAATATATAAATCTTCCTTTCTTGTTGTTGTAATTATCTTCAAAAATTAAAAAATTTAGATCGTATACCGCCTTTCAGTTTAATATAAATACCTTCTCTAGGTTTCAATTTCAAATCATAACTAACCCCATTTTTTTTGCTTTCTATTTTTTTTTTTGCGTTTTATTTTATTTGGTTTTACACATATGAATTCATGGTGTTTATGTATGGTTATAGGTTACGGATGCAACGTCGTTAAACAATTCCAGGACAATTAAATTGTTGATTCAATCGAACATATGGTGAGTTTTTCACTTTAGTACTTTCATGTTTAATATTTAAATTATGCTTGGATGTATTGAGAAATCTATAAGCTTTCTCTATAATAACAATATTTGAGAAGTGTTTTTGCTGACGTGTCGGACTCTCGGCTTTTGTTGAGCCATTGATTTTGCGTAATTACTTAAATACCTTCTATTAAATTAATTCGAATATTAATTAAAATTAAAAAAATAACTGACCCTAAAATATAAAAATTCGATATATTTTACATTTTAAAAAATAGTAATATTCTTAAACACGAAAAAATAAAAAAAAAATAAATAAATTTGGCTCAAATGTAGTTTACATACCTTTTTTTATGACGGTTTATCGTTCGACCAAGAACATCCAATGACCACTAAGAACTTGTTACCCTACCATAAAACATATATTCATAGCAATAACAGAAATTTGGCAATTTAATGATAGAAAACCACCTTTTGATCTGTTGAATCATCATAGAAAACC